CCATATATATATATATATATATATATGATAATGCTTATGAGTTGCGAATAAGAAACGGTTTTTTCGTAATGTTAATTGCAACTACTGATACTTTTGTAAGAAGAGGATATGACGTTCATCATTAGAAATTTAGAAGAGTGGGTGAGACTACTAATTAACACTTCTATTTCAGTTGTTTCTTTCCTTCTTTCTTTTATTTATTTATTTTTTATAATTTTTTTCTAGAAACTTTTTTTAATTGTAGTAAATATCAGATTTATAAAACTAAATTAAGTAAATAACACATATTTTAAAATTATTTAAAGTAAATAACAATTTACTGTGTGTAAATTTTCATTTACGACCGATAGAATTGTAAGTTTAAGTCAGACTAAACACCGAGACCTGCCACTATTGGTATGTGCCCGGCCTAGCTCTAACTTCTGGGCTGAGATTTCAACCCTGAAAGGTTATTTGGACCTGAGGCCGATCCAAACACTCTCTTTTTAAATATTTTTTAAATAATATCTTATAAAATTTTGGACCGGTTCTAAATTTGTTGGGCTTTAGGACCGGGTTGAATCCCTTTAAGGTTAACCTTGCCCGATCTAAAATTCTCATTTGGGCCGCTGAACGGCCTGAACTTTCACGTTTAATGACCGGTAAAAATAATTTATGTAATAAAAAATCTTTATTTAAATGGAATGAGAGAGAGGCATCTTGAGTATTTTGGATATTTTAATGTATATAAAAATATTTAATGTACCTTTTCTTCTATGCAATACATACTATTTTTATTATAAAAAAGTTTTTTCTTCTCTAATATTTATTTGTTTATTTTCGCAAATGAAAAGAGAAAACAACCATTCTAGCAGTACCATGTGCTTTATCGATTTAGGAAACTGATACCTTAATATTGGATTATACCAAATAGTCATCAGTACATTAAAAAAAAAAAAAAACACACACACACACACACATCCTGAGTGTCTTGCGTTTAGTTTTTTTATAACAAAAACACCTTAACAAATAAGTAAAAAAAAAACAAAACAAAACAAAAAAAAAGAAAAGAAAAGAAAAAAATAAATAAAATCTAGTTTTTATTCAACATAAGCATCATCTAAGAAAAGAAAAAAATAAAAAGCTAAAAAAGAAGTAAGTACCTCGTGGATGGAATATATTTACTTCCAATGAGGAAGCTATAAAATGTTCTACAATCGCTTTAGACATGTTGATAAAATTTAGAAGTCTTATCTTATTAGGGGATTTTTTTGGTGTTTGCTTTTTTTTTTTTAAATTACCGATATTTTTTGTTTATCAGCCGTCGAATTTATATTATTTTTTTAATTTGATTCGATTTAATATAAATCTAACAGTTGATAAATAAAAAACACCGGTGTTCCAAAAAAAAAAAAACACTAAAGAAAGTCTCATCTTATTGTTCAGCTTCTCTTATTATTTTGGATTGTAATTAGATCTCCCAGCTTCCAATTCATAAAAAACTCAGTAGGAGCTGTAATAGGCTTCAAGGAGCTCGGGTGATGGATAAGGGGAGTGGAAAATTGAAATGCCTCTAAAATCAACAACCCTCCATCAAACACCATTCCTAAAAATATTGTTTCCATCTCCGGCATCCAAAACGGACGAGGGGGAAGTATTTAGCTTTAAAAATTCGGTTCAACAAAGAAGTATTTTGAAGAATCCGGCAATCTTGCTTAGTGAGAAGAGCATGATTGAACATACTAATATCCTGAAAACCTAAAGGGCGCGTTCGGAATTCGTTCTAAAATAATTTTATTTTTTGTATGAAAATAGAAATGAAAGCATTTTCAATCTCAGATAGAAATCATTTTTAAAAATTCGTTTGGTAGTTTTATCAAGAGATTATTTTCAGTGTAAAAAACTCAATAATGTCTCTCTTTCTCTCTCTCTGCTCGAGAGAGGAGAAAATGAAAATAAAAAATGAAAAATGACTCAAAGTCATTTTTCATTTATCTTTCATTTTACACTAAACTAAAAAATCATTTTCATTTCCGTTTTTTGTCTTTATTGCGTCAAACGCTGTTTTGAAAACGTTTTCATTTTTTCTTTCTCAAAAAACATAAAAAAATAAAAACGAGATCAATTCCAAACATGACCAAAGTCCCCCAACTTTTTTGGTTGATACATTTTCTCCCATTGCATCCAATGGATTTTCCTAGTAGCCTCCATATATTCCCACCAAAATCTAGCAAAAACCACCAACCACCACCTTAATTGTCCGTTCTCTTCTTGAGCTCAAAAAAAATTTCTCTCTTCTCCAAAGCTGCAATATTTTAGCAAATCTCTCCTTAATCCCATTGAAACATACTCTTTTTTATTTTTACCAACAAAAGAGGGCAACTTGAGATACTTGTCATGGTGATGCACATCGCCGTGAAGCCCTAACCGGCGTTGGGTCTCCGATTTTAACTCAATATTAACATTAGGATTAAAAGTAATTAAAGACTTCGAAAAATTATCCGTCACGACCCTGTAGGATACGAATCCCGAATTCATCTAATTGCATCACTGTCCTGCCAAGATGCCTGTCCAAGGGTAATAGAATCAGCTGCAAATGGCAAATGGCCAACTCCAGTCAAATCCATACTCGCTTCTATAAACTCGTATATAAGAGTGCTGAATTTTCATGTAGTCCGACTCTTTTTATGTCCTCAAAAAAAAAAAAAAAAACTTAAAGACTTTTGAACATAAAAAAAGTAACACACATTTTCCATCTAAACTTGATATAAGTTTTGAATTGGGCCTTATTTCTTACGAAATGGTCGAAATAATAGAAAGCCATATGACGAAGTGTTTGATGACTATTTATCTAATACATTATTGTACATTGTATTTTTATCTTTTGTATTTGTTTTGGGTAATGTTTATGCTGGGGAAGATTTTTGGGAAATAATAGGAAATAAGTCAATATGAAAAGCTTAAGAAAGTATATAGGTCAATTTTTAGTTATAGAAATTAATAGGCCATAACTTATCAAGTTATGGTTCATAATCAGATAAGTTATGGACAAATTTGTCAAGTTATGGTTCATAACCAGACAAGTTATGGATAAAAACCGTGAATAACCTGTCAAGTTATGATTCATAACCAGACAAGTTATGGACGAAAACAGTAATTTGGCCTATTTATTAACTTATGTAAATTATTGGCCTATTAATTTTAATTCATCTCAAGTCTTGGCTTATTTTCCTCTTTCTCCCAAGATTTTGTTACCCTGCTAAGAAGATGTTTATACTGATTTTTTTTTTATTTCTTTTCACTTTTGGTTTCTTGCTTCTCTTTTTTTCCCCCTTTTATTTAGAGCTTATATACAGCTTAGTTTTAGCCTTTTTCTTTTTTTTTTTATTTCTTTTAATTTTTTTTCTTTTGCTTGTTCTCTATTTTTGTTTTTTTCCTAATATTCGTTGACAATTCATTTTTTTTATGATATCATTCTTTAAAATATTTTTTTTCTCACTTTCTTTTAACTAAACATAAATAAAAGAGCAAAAAGAATACTTCCCTATATGTCAATCTCTCATTTTTTTTCTTTCCTATTTTGTTTTTGTTTTTACTTTTTCTATTTCTTTCCACTTTTAATTTCTTGTGCTTTTTACCCTTTTGCTTAGAACATATATACAGATTATTTTTAGTCCTTTTCTTTTTCTTTCTTATTTTTAAATTCTTTAAATTCTTTAAATTTTTTCTTTTTTTTCTTTTGCTTATTTTTTATTTTTGTTTTTCCTTAATATTCTTTGAAAATTATTTTTTTTTACAATATAATTCTTTAAAATACTTTCTTTTTCACACTTTCTTTTAATTAAAATAGTTCTTTTTAAATATCTCCCTACTTAAGTTTTATTTTTTTGGGTCAAAAACTCCTATACAACTTTAATTTTTTTCGATGTGATTTTGAATTTTTTATTCATATTACTCTAACTAATATACCTAGTTTTAAGGAGGTCACGTGTTTTGAAGCGGGATCAAATTTATAAAGTTCTTCTTCACGTGCATAGTATGTGACTCAACTAGTTAAAGGCAAAAACAAGAAAGCAATTCATACAAACAATAAGCAGGAAGAAGTTAAAATAAATGTCAAAATATATAAATAAAAAAAGATTATTATCTCTGATGCTCTTGAACTTTAGGGTCATTTTCTGTCATGACCGAGAAATTTATCGGAATTATTATATAGGATAATATTTCCTAGAATCATTTGTATCATTAATATAAATATTTTTATGATAAGTATTTGTTGATATATGTATGGAATAGCAAGTTATAAGTTAAAATTCAGAAATTTCTGAACTACGATGTAGTTACCGATTTTTTGGATTGTATTTAAGAAAGAAGTATGGAATGTTATGTTAAGCTCACAAGTGGGTAAACACATAATGATAAGTTTAAGAAATGGAAAAGAATTGAAAGACATCAATTCTAGGGTTTTGGAAACAGTCGGAATGAAAAACAGACGAAAAAGGGGTTTGGAAGGCCGAATTGAGTAAAAATTGGGATTTCGACTAATTTGAGTTGACCAAGTCAAAATTTATTGATCAAGAATCGACCAAAACTTCACCCTCAAAAAGTTAGTTAAGAATGGTCAAGGTTGACTAAGTTGACCATCTGTCCGAAAAACGCAGATAAAACGCACACCGGACAGGAAATTAAATGAAAAATTAATGAGATAATTACTATGAATGGATGGTTAGGATTTAAAATAATTAAATTGATGAGTGACTGAGATGAGGACATGTGTCAACATAGTGTGGCCGGTCAAGGCTTAATGGAGAAGTAAAAATTGAAGATTTTTTTTGAGATATTTGTGATTTTTTTTACAAAACGGTGGTTGAAAAGTCAAAGTTTACAAAATTGATCATTGCTTGTGTAATAGTCGGTTCAAGTGAGGAACTAATGCATATATGGCCATTTGTACGTGGAAAAGAACCAGAGAGCATCCAAGAAGAATAAAGAGGAAAAAACAATTTACAGCGTGAGAAACAGTGAGTTAGACCAAAAATCGACAGAGTAATCGAGGCATCGCACCACCAGAGATTGACCTTTGTTTCCTAAGGTGAGATTTTAAGATTTTATCTTGTTTTTCTTTCTCTTTGCTGCCGTGGATGTGTAGAGAAGAGTAGGGACAAATTTTTTAGAGGTAAGGATTTTGCTTGAAATGGTTTGAGAACATGGAATCTAAGAATCTAAGGTTAGATTTTTGGTTATTTAACCTTGGTTTCTAGCAATTTTGATATAGCAAATTTTGTTGGAAAAGTCGAGAAAACCCTAAAACCATGATGAAGATTTATGGTGTTTTTGAATGAGAAAGGCTATGGTTGGTGTTTGATAGTGGAAACAACAGATAAAACGAGCTAAGGTTGGCTTGAGAAACATGCAGAAATAGACGGAATTCTGCCGAAATTTAGTTTGAGTAATTTGAACTAAAACTGGATTTCAAGAGGAATAAGGGATTAAAGTGTGAAAAGAAAGGTGTTTCGATAATCGGTGATGCATAGAAATCGAACACAACGAGAATTCACAGTTTTGGACCGAAACTGAAAATTAGGCCTATGACTGAGTAACTTGCACGGTTGTAGTGCAAAATTCTTGAGATAGGAAATATTTTGGGATTGAATACCAAACATAAGGATTGTAGACCTTTCCGAAGTAAATTTCAATTTAGTTATTGATCTTAGATTTTGAATCTAATGATCAAAAATTTATGCAATAGGATCAATTAACGCTTGAAGTCGGGAAGCGTCAAGTGAGACAAAGGACGCGTTGTTAGCGGAACTTTGGTAAGTACAATAGTTTCTCTATGGTTATATCACGAACAAGCTTACTTTTCTATGTTGCACAAAAATTGTGCATATAGTAGAATTTTGAATGTTAGATACTATATGAATGTTAGATACTATGTTAGGTATGTATCTACAAGACTTATGTAATCGTAGAATTTTATTCTGTAAAAAGTATGTATCGATGTTAAGTCGATGTCAAACTAAGAGAAATGAAAAGTTAAACTTTAACGAAAAGTTAATCTCATTATCATAAAATGCTCAATAATGCACAAATTCATAAGATTTAATTAAAGCTACCGTTTCAATGAGAAAATTGATAAACGGTAAGAGACTAAACGTCCTGTTTGTACCAGCCTTCGAAAGAAAGGTTATTATGAGACTATGAAAGATATGAAACCGTGACTGAGTCGGATTGGTTAGCTACCCCACTCCTCACTGGTTATGCGCGCTATGGTACAACAAGACATAGCCCATAAGAAGTAAAAGACAAGAAAATGAAAAACAGAAACCATTCCATATAAGGGTACGGTATCTGTAAAGAAGAATGAAAAGAATGAGAAATACAAAATGAAAGTCGTTCAGAACGTGAAAATACGATGTGAACCACTAAAATGAGACGAAAGCAGAACAAAGAATGTAATGAAAGAAGAAAAACATAAGCCATACATGTTTTAGTAGTACATAATGTATTATAATATATGACATGAATGCATATATGGGTATGCATAATTATTGCATCTGTTATGACCTATTGGTACTTGCTGAGCGAAAGCTCATTAAGTTTGTTCGTGTTGTAGAAAGCTTGGGTAAGGCACCGGCTCCCTGAAACATGTTGTTGGACATGCAGAGAGGATGCAGCAGTGGAGTGTGGGCAAGTGAGTTGTGGATGTATCACGTGTTTTGGAAACATTACCAAACATTACATGTAAAATAAAATAGTGTTTTATGTATTTTGAGGACTAATGTAACAGAATGCCGTCAGAATGCTACAGCATTTTAAGTATGACTAATATAACAGAATGCTGTCAGAATGCTACATCATTTTGAGAATGACTAATGTATAGAATGCTGTTAAAATGCTACAGCATTAAGACATATGAATTGTAGAAAACAAAATGCTAGCTAAATGCTACAGTATTTTAACGTACATGGTAAAAAAAAAGGCCTGAGATTTCAAGAGGTTATAACTAGTAAGTGTTAGAGGTTAAGTAACGTTAAGTATGAGTATAGGACGACGGTCAAAAGTTAGGGTCGTCACAATTTCAGTTTACCTTTTGAATTTTAAAAATTCTAATTTTGCCTCATGAACTTTGAATTGTTTCCACTTAACCTCTTATGTAGCAACTTTTGTTAAAAATAAATAGAAAAAAAGAGAATAACGTAGTCACGTAATCTTTTTGTTTAAAATTCTGTTAAAAAGAAATAGATAAAAACTACATAACCACACTTAACACCCTATTTTGTCATTTGATTTTAACAGAAATTATAATAAAAGGGTTAAGTGAGAACAATTCAAAATTTAAGAGGCAAAATGAGAGTTTTTAAAATTTAAAGAGTAAACTGAAAATGACCCTAAAATTTAGGGGCACTAGTGAGAATAATCTAATAAAAAAAAGATATGAGGATAAAAAATAAAAAACTAAAATAGAAAAAAATGTTAAACATAAAAATAAAAAGTTTCCCACATTGAACTAGTGTTGAAACTTTGGACGGGCCGCCCGCGACCACTGAAAATTCTAAAATTTTACCCGATGACCGAGCCTAAATTTTTGGGCTGCCCGACCCGACCCGAGAAAGACCATGGACGGGCTTCGGGCAGGTTTTGACTGCCCGAGCCCGGTCGGGCAGCCCGAGACTGCCCGAGTGCCCGAAAATTTTTTGAATGTTTTTTATATATTTATATACTATTATATATATTGAACTAGTGTTGAAACTTTGGATGGGCCGCCCGCGACCACCGAAAATTCTAAAATTTTACCCGATGACCGAGCCTAAATTTTTGGGCTGCCCGACCCGACCTGAGAAAGACCATGTACGGGCTTCGGGCAGGTTTTGGCTGCCCGAGCCCGGTCGGGCAGCCCGAGACTGCCCGAGTGCCCGAAAATTTTTTGAATGTTTTTTATATATTTATATACTATTATATATATTGAACTAGTGTTGAAACTTTGGATGGGCCGCCCGCGACCACCGAAAATTCTAAAATTTTACCCGATGACCGAGCCTAAATTTTTGGGCTGCCCGACCCGACCTGAGAAAGACCATGTACGGGCTTCGGGCAGGTTTTGGCTGCCCGAGCCCGGTCGGGCAGCCCGAGACTGCCCGAGTGCCCAAAAATTTTTTGAATGTTTTTTATATATTTATATACTATTATATATATTATATATAATTGTGTTTATTAATTGTATATGATATGTATATAAATGATCTTTAAGTTATTTATTGTAAAAATTATACGGGAGATTGTAATTTGAAATTTGAAATGAACACGAACTATATAAAAAAAATTATTTATTTATTAATTTTTAAATTTATAATTCATGATTGCATCGTTAAAAACCTTACCAAGAAAAATTCAATTGGGATAAAATCTTGGTAAGAAAAAAAGAGTGTAATCATTCTGGGACGAATTACAAATTTGATAAACTTACAAAGTTTATACTACTGGTTCCCGAATCGAATTCGGGTGCGGAAGCGTGGGGATGAAAAACAGCGGATCGTGTATAACAAAAATTTTCATAAAACTTTTGACATACTCTATAGATTATATTAATTTATGCACGAATAAATTAATCACATTAATTTACATGATTCAAGGATCAACCGAAAAAATACCTGGAAGCCGACTCGGATGATAACTTGAATTTCTTTGACCACGAACAGTCCTTGCTCCAAGCTTTGTGTTTAGAATACCAAAGTCTTCCACGTCAATTCCTTGATTCCACGTAGACGTGTGTGTGGGCACACGTGAGATAAAACAGGTTTCTTAAACACTCGAATTTCCACAAACACCAACGCATGCACGATGTGGAATTTTTGGAGAAAAATATTTTCTCTCTCTTTTCTCTCTATGAATTTCGGCCACCAACAATTAGGGCTGAAAAAATTGCTT